TCGCTGTCGATGGGAAGGGGGGGCAGCCAAGGATTGATGATGTGGGAATGGAAGGAATCTACGAATGAACCAAGAACAGCGTGCTTCCATTGAAACCTCGACAGACGGAGCAGAGAAGCCCAATGGGCGTGTTGCTGACGTGGAGATTACTTCAAACAAGTCCAAGAAGGAGAAGAAAGAGAGGAAGGATAAGAAGGATACTACCGTGAAGGAGGCGAAAAAGGCTGGCGAAGTGGAGAAGATAGAAAGTAAATCTACGTCGAAGAAAGTGAGTGCGGTGTCAGATACCCCGGAGAAACTGGCAAAAGGTGAGAAGGGGAACGCCAGCCTTCAAGGTGCAGGGAAATCAGGTAAGGGAGAAAGGTCCAAGACGAAGAAGAGCAAGGCATAGACAAAAAAATTTTGTTATTGGAGGGTGTTCCTTGCCATAAATTTTATTTAAAGATATTAGGATTTCTTGTGTTTGTATATACCTATTTTATATTCTTAGCTAGGTATTTAGAAATGCTTTGAGGATTATATTCCCTTTCAACCATTCGGCTTCAAGTTGTCAGTGCAGCTGTATGAACGTCCATAGGATCGACAGCTGCAGGCCCTTATGCCTGCCAATAGTACTAGTAGTTTGTAATACCTAGCTTTTTCCTGACCCAAGCTGAGACAATGTAGAAAATGACGATTCATTGTGATTTGGATTCGAATATCTTACTCCGTATACTTGTTGGTATCCATGGATACGCCAAGTAGATCCACGTGACACACCACTAGTCAATATATGTACTAGCCCGGCAGACCTACAGAAAATCAGCCAAAAAATTTCCAGAAAACTCTCCCTTCTCTTCTTTCTCAACTCTTCGCTCAAAGAATCGCATTCAAAGCTTACGCACAGGAGAGGGAAGAGAATAGCCCTTCACGGAATTATTTTATTCTCTCTTCATACCGCAACTACTAGCTTTGGGAGAAAGTCCCCGGACACCCTGCACCCCCGTCTTAAAACCGCGAGGGTTCCTCACAACAAGCCAGGCACTGCGGAAACGCGCCGCCATAGAAGCATTTCTCATTGCGGCTTACGCCTTTTTCCCTTCCCTTCTCTTTTCTCACTCTTCTTTTAGAAGGGATGAGGAAAGAAAGAAGGGCTCGTCGCTGTTCCTACCCGACTCTGGAAGTTTTTATTCTGCAGAGAAAACAATGGTGGTTTGGACGGGATGGGGCCATTTTGGCGAGGGATAGGTTGCCATTCGTCGTGTTTCGATAGTCATGCGATTGCTTGGTTTCGCATGTGTATATTATATGTGTGAAATCAAGTAACTCGATGGGGCTTATTCATGAGGCGAGGAGTTCACCCTTTTTTTTTCATTTTCATTCCTAAGGTCTGTAGCTTATGGAAAGCGGCGGTGATGGTTTCTTTTTAATTTTCTTCTCTTTTAAAGTAGGGGGATTTAATTAAAAGGGATCTCATTGCAGAAGCCTTGTCGGATGGGCCAGACTTCTTGTTATGTATTTATTTCCCTATTTATTTATATTTTATCTTTTTCGGTTCAAGTGATGATTCACATCATAGAGTCAAGCACTGAGGCTCATTAGAGCTGTTGAAGACTCAAATGATTAAATTTTTATCTGATGGACATGAAGATATTGTATATTCTATATAAAACTAACGCCATAAAATCGGAATTTGTGTTTCTGGCTTCCGATATGCAGGGTAAATTCCCCTCACCGATCATTATCTCGTTTTTAAGAGGAGTATCATTAGATTTGAATAAGTTAGACATGGACATCGTGTTAATGTATATACAGGGGTATGTATGTATTCGTTTTTATCGTAGATATCCCTTCCCACTCATTATTGGCGTTTCTTCCCTTCCTTCCCCTCCATAGTAGCTCCAAGTTTTATCCGGTCAATTTTCGGCTTCGACACGTATGCAAGACTAGCTCTCATCGCATCACCAACCAACGCAACAACGGTGGCGCACGCTCCGCCCCATATCTGTATGCTCACGGTACCCATCGGCGCACGGGGAAAGGACAACACCCACTGCACCTGCCATGGAATCCATCCAGGAGGTAATGTAAAAATAGGCGTCTTGGAGTACCAGAATTGCAAGAACAGCATTAGCCCAGAGGTGGCTGCCCAGCGAGCGATTTTGATAGTCATGTCGAAAGTAGATTTGGATTGGGTGAGTTCATTGTCTGTTTGTTTTCCGAGTTTTTGTAGGTTAGAATCGCGTGCTTTCGTTTTCGTGGTGGTGTTTTGAACACCACTGAAGATTGACGTTTGGTCTGTCTGTACCAAGTGCAAGGGGGCGGAGACCAAAGAGCTGAAAGAATGAAAGAATGAAAGGGAAAGGGAAAACGAAAAAAAGAATGATATAATAATATAGTGTGTCAAGAACGTACTCTTAGCCTCATATGCCTCCATCGCCTTATCATGTCGCCGTCTCAACTTGGCCCATTTTGCAAACTCATCCTGGGAGCTGGTCGAGCTCATTTCGTGTTTGAGTTGCACAACTTCTCGTTTCATATGGCGTTGTTCTCGAGCGATCTGCGACGTCCCTGTGGGTAGCTTAATGTAGAGGAGCCATAGCTACGAAGGAATGAATAAATTAGCTTCTTTTCGGGAGTTTCAAATGTGGGACTTTTTTTTCTTCATTGGATTGAGGCGCAGAAAGTCTAGAGAAGGGAGCTGGGGTGATTCGTACCAAACCATCTACTGTAGCGGCGCCAACCGTATTAATCACATATATGATGACGTTAAGGAACAGGACGGTGATGAGTAGTGAGGGCATTTTCGAGATATATACTAGTAGCCTTGAAGTTGGTGGAGCGAGCAAAGGCCAGAGGTTAACGCTGAGGTGGGCTCAACGGATTGAGAGCGAATGAGGTTTTGGCATTAGGGTGTTGGTTAAGTGGTTGAAGCAGTGATGCGTTACTCCAGTGTTGTCTCGGTCGCTATTTCGTCGCTCTGAACTGTTGAACAACGAAAGCACCTTGCGACGCTTTTTCTGCCATTTTGACTTCAACCATGGTGGTTTGCGGGAGCTTGGGCCAACATAGCGCCACGTGATATTGCTTTTGGCTGGGACCTCTCCCCACCGAGACAAGGTGTAGTGGTATTCTCCTCGCGGCGGAGTCTCCAAGACTCAAGCCAATCTATTAACCACCTATACCCAAATGTCCGCACCAGAAGACTATCATGCGACCCTAACTAAGATCCTTTCCTCCAGAGGTAATCAAATTTTTGACATTCATTTCCTTCCGGAGGGCTTTGGTGACCTCCTTCAGGAGGGGCATGAGATAGGCATCACCAAGAAAGCGCTTGTACAATGCTTCATAAAAGCACGTCAAATATTGTCCTCTCTCTCCTCACTAGAGCAACTGCGCCGGAAACCAGAAACTGGTAGCAATGAAGAACATGTTTCTCTAGGAGCACCCCGTGAAGACGCCTCGCAACCCCCCCGCAATTCGAACATCGACCAAAAGTACTCGCCCCAAACTCTCCTCCTCCAAACCGAAATCCTCCTCCTTCTCGATTCCGAACACCTAACTGCCTGCAATTGGCGGAAGCGCAGACTATGCGCCTTGAAAGAACAAAAGCAATCACAATGCCCCGGCTCTGCAAACCATTACCCACCCACTCTCCATACCGAAATCTCATTTACGACAACAATCCTCCGATCCCCGCTTCACCGTCACACAAAATCCTCCCGTTCTATGGTACCACCGGGAAATGGACTATGATGCAGCTTTTGGACTTTTGC